AACGTTTTATAGGATAACAGTTTCTAAATCCAAGTCACTGTTGCAAGAACAATAATTATCTCTGTGTATATTCTGTTTTCTAAAAGTCCGTAGAAGAACCAATGGACAATAATAACCTGCATGCATATTTTGTTTACACACACATTTCACCTGATGGTGACATAAAATGTACTACGAAACATAGCTGTTCAGACTGGATAACTGTGTTCTTAATCACCTGCATGCATATTTTGTTTACACACACATTTCACCTGATGGTGACATAAAATGTACTACGAAACATAGCTGTTCAGACTGGATAACTGTGTTCTTAATCACCTGCATGCATATTTTGTTTACACACACATTTCACCTGATGGTGACATAAAATGTAGTACGAAACATAGCTGTTCAGACTGGATAACTGTGTTCTTAATCACCTGTATATATATTATTAAACTAATCATGGAAACGCACCAGCGATACATGTACAACAGTGGCATACAATGGCCAATTGAAACTAAATGCTCAGTTTATCATTATTACAATACGTTGTAACTGAAAATACAAAATAAAAGTGAATCAGTTGTATGATGTACTACTATTTTATATTTGTTTATATAGATCAGTCCATCTTGCTTTTACGCTACCGTGATTTTATCAATGCCTGTGAAATATCGTTCTACATGTTTTGCAGCGCACTCTACAAGTTCTTTAGTTGCTATTTGAACTTCTCACTTTCCACATAAGCCCATGAAGTCTTAATAATATTCATATCGGTGGTTTGTGCGTATCAGCCATAGTTGCAAGTGGTCATTTTTCACCAAAGAGGTCAGAGGAAATGAAATAGAGCTAGAAAACCGAAATGGTTTTAGTAAATTACTATTTTATAGGATGCTAGACACATACTTATTACTAGAAACAAATCTTGGCCAATTTGATGAATAAAAGTAGTTTAAAACTACACCTAATTAGCACATATTTTAATATAATTCGAATTTAACTAAGCCTAATATTGACATCTCGGTTTTTCATTGAATGTAGAGAAACTATTAGGAAAATCACATTGTTTACCTGATGCAGTTTTCTGGATCGTGGTCACAATCTACGTTACACATAAATCGTTCCCATGACAACCAGCCCATGGGAGGAGTTAGTGCCAAGCCATTGTCCAATGAGCAAGCAGTTGATATAATAATAATAAAAACGATGACACCTATGAATACTTTCATTTTCAATCCATAAATGAATTGGTTTGATGACTGTAAAAAAACAAAACAATAAGTCACGAAAGAATAAAAACAGTGTGGTGTATAAAATAACAAACCAATCTTTTCACTGAACGAACTGTTTAAAACGACAATGTAAACAAAATGATGTAATGTGAAAATCTGTCTTTTTTTCTCACAAACTATGTACAATTTGTCGAGAATTTGGAGTGTTACACAACATAAAAATATCTGGTTATTTATGACAGTTAAATGTGGATTATCGAACAATATTCCAGATTCCGTGTTTCCCTTGTAACAATTTCCTCCATTTGACGTCCATTACTACGGCGTAATGCTCTACACTGACGTCCATTACTACGGCGTAATGCTCTACACTGACGTCCATTACTACGCCGTAATGCTCTACACTGACGTCCATTAATACGCCGTAATGCTCTACACTGACGTCCATTACTACGCCGTAATGCTCTACACTGAAGTTTACAAAGTAATAAATTTCTGCGAATGAAGACGAAGTCAATATCTGACCTTACAGAAATCCTCTATTCTACATGGACGTTTAAACAAAGACAGAAAAGATAAATGGAGTAACTTGATAAATATGTGCATTACTCTGTTTTAAATAATCTCAGATTAAAAATCAAGATTTAAGTTTGAAGTTAACACCTAAACCGATTGACAAATTAGGGTTAAAAGATAAGTTTTAAACAGTATGTTGCCAACAATTCTTCAAGTACAGCGGACACAATATAAATAAATTAGTCGAAATATACCAAGTCACAAAAACTATTAAGCCTAATCTAAAACATTAACATCCCTGGTAAAATGTGAATCTTTTCATCCAATCAGAGAACACCACATCCTGATATTACACTTTAAAAGATGTGATAAATATAATGTAAAATAGAAAGACATCAAGCGTTCTGTATACCGAAACCTAAACCAAGCGTTCTGTATACCGAAACCTAAACCATAAACCGAACTAAACAGCTTACCAATCGACGACAGAAGTCAACATTCAAGTCAAACCCTAGGGTGAAATATTTACTGGATTATCAACTCACGCGAAAGTTAGTCATAGATATATTTATCTATACATTTTTATATACTTTCTCTCTCTAAACCTAAATATATATACACGTATGTGCCTGTCGATACAAAGTCTATACGTAACTTGTCTATTTGACAGATAGGTGATAATTTTCATGAACATATTGTTTCGTTTTTCAATCTGCTCTTTAGTTGAAAACACTCCGTACTTAAAAACAGACATCGTAATACGTACGATTCATTGTTCAGTGATAATGATTAAACAATAGAAAGAACAGATAATATTTTTCAATTATACTCGTCATTAGTATCAGGTTACTATATATAGTTTTTAAAACGCTACATTCGTTGTCTAGTTTTTCAGGGATTTTGAAGAATTAGAAGAGCGTTTAATAGTATTTCAACACCATTATATTCGCCATATTCACTGCCAATGACGCTTTTCGCTTGATACAGAGCTCATCAGACCGACTCAGTGGTCGGAACACTATTTACAAAAACCACTCGTTATGAACGTAAACAATATCGGAAAAGGCGTTCACATCATAACAATGGTTGAGATAATATTTTTGTTTCTTTGCACTGCTGATGGAATACCGTTGTGGCTTTATAAGTGGGTAGAGCACAGATGGCCCTGTGTATAGCTTTGTGCTTAATAACAATAAAAACTAACGGGCCGAGAGTATTCTCATTTTCGTAGTCTCTGCAAAGAATGGAATGTGTATTCTAGGTTAAAAATATAATATTTATAGTCTTTTTTTATTGAATCATGAAGAAACTTTAATTAAAAAATCGAGTGTTTAATGAAAATAGAATTTTTAATTGTTTTTTGTATAAGTACATGTGTGTATATAAAATATGAAGTAGAGATAAAGAGAGAGTTATACTGTATATAATGTATATAAAGAGGCTAAAAGAATGGCTCTGAGTTTTCAGCTGCGGCATAGCGGCTCATAGATAGACTCTGAGTTTGTTTTTCGAGTACAAACTTTTAGCCCATAGCTCCGTCATCTTTTAAACGATATGAGATCTAATTACAGTTTTGGAATCAAGAGGTAAAACACTTTTAATTAGTGTACTCGACCAGGTCCATGGTTTCATAGATTAATTTACTCTAATCCTGCCTAAAAGAATTTCAATTGGAGGTTAGGTTGGTAGAGATCCTCATGATTAATATAATCAAATCGGGTATACGCGCACCCCTGGCTTGATATTGTTAGCGCACACAAATACAGCTAATAAAAGAAAAAAAAGTTTCATATAATAATTTACTCTAACCCTGCCTAAAAGAATTTCAAGAGCCGCGGCTATTGAGGATTTCCTCTTGTTTATATATGGCTAAAGCATATTTTTAATGATACTTACATTGTTCCATCTTGTTTATATACTGTGTCGTAGCCAGGACGCACACATTGAGGGCGCAATGACAAACTAAAAGGGCACGAGTACATTGTGATCATTTTCAGTTTTCATTATGAATTTTTGTTATCATTTATTGATGTTCCTTATTAATTCATAAGCGAATTCACTCATGAAAAAATATTTGATATCCGATAACAAGAGCCTAAGTTAGGTATGAACTGGTAGGTTAATCAAAACAGAAAACACGAGTCAGTCTCAGGGCCCCTCGACGTGGATTCCTATACGTGATGAGGGGACCTCCTAGGAAAGTTTCTGTATTTTCAGTTACTTCCTCTGGGATCTAAACATCCACCCACGTGTTTGCCATGCGTGGCGACCCGTGAAGGGGAGGAGAGGTTCCTGGTGGTGTCTGGGGCACTGCAACACACCACTTTGGCCTTAAATTTCTATAGACGGGTGGCCTTGGGGTGGTCCCGCAGGGTCAATCGGCTGGTCCACTCGGGCTAGGTTCAACTGAGTACCAGTGTTGGGCGTTCTCAACGGGTGTTGTGGACATC